GCTTGATGGATGTATTTACTGGCATAATGTCTCGTATAATTTCAAGTGATGAGTACTAGATAGTGAACTACCCTTGTGATTTTCTGTCGCCCTTTTATTTTTTTCTCGTTAATGTTTCTCTTTTTGATATTTTTGTTTATGAAAATAAAGGCATTTATTATTATTTATTATTATTATTATTATTTTTTTCTTCCACAGACGTATCTGTCTGGTAATAAAGGATAGACCAGATATCAACCAGATATCAAAGAGACTATCCAAGCACCTTCCTTAGTATATGCGCTGTTCCTAGTAGTGCCGTTTTTTGAATTTGGTAGAGTGCTGGTTTACCGGGTATTGAGTCACAATTTCCGTGGAAGGTTTTGGTGATAGTTCCTAATGCACCGACAACGACAGGAGTTATCCAAGCTTTCACATGCCACATTCTCTGTATTTCTATCTGGAGATCTCTGTACTTAGATATCTTTTCATTTTCTTTCGATTTTACATTGGAATCGTCGGGAACCGCTATATCAATTAGTTGACATGTTTTCTCCTTTCTGTTATGAATTATAATGTCAGGTCGGTTTGCTTTTATTGTTCGATCCGTTATTACCGGCACATCCCACATAATACATACATCAGTGGTGTCATTCTTGATGTTGGTGACACTCTGGATTTCATGTTGATAATATTTATCTGTAACTGGAATACCAAACGAGTCACATATTTTCCAGTGAACGTAACTAGCTACATTGTTATGTCTAGCGGTATACTCTGAAGGGGCTAGTACTTGGCAACCTGCTACTATATGGCTGATGTGTTCGTCGAACTGCCCGCATATTCTGCATTTACTGTCTGTACTTTGTTTTAGTATATACTTTTGGTGGTACCTTGTATTTAATGCTTGATCTTGTGCAGATACTATCAGAGCTTCTGTTTCCGCTTTCAGCGTAGAGCTTCTCATCCAACTGACACTTCCACGTTTATCTACCTCTGTTCTCTCGAGTTGTCGGAAGAACTGTCCGTGCAATGGTTTCGAGGCTACTTTTGCTAGTCTGCCACTTTCAGCGACGTTCTTGATCTTGTCGATTGAGTTTCTAGTCGGGTCTTCGCCTCCTAGACGTTCCGACATAATCTTCTTCATTTCTTTCTGGATGGAGTATTTGCAAAGGCCATTGTCCCATTCTTTCACTATTTTTGATAGTTTGTCCTTCCCTTGGGTTATATATTCTCCGAGACCAACCATAGATGTTTCATATAGAGCTTCAATTTCTACCATTCCGCGTCCTCCATTGCGCCTCTTTACATATAACCTGTCCACGTCAGCCTTGGGATGGTGTATATGTGCCATTGTCAGCAGCTTCCTGGTTTTCCGGTCTATTCTCAGAATATCTGACTTCAGCCAATTGACAATTCCAAAGCTGTAACTTAGTACAGGCACAGCGAAAGAGTTGATTGCAGATATTTTATTTTTGGAGCATAATTCTGTCTTAAGAATCAGGCGCACACGACGATAATACTCCCTCCCTTATTATTATTATTATTATTATTATTATTATTATTATTATTATTATTATTATTATTAATATTGACAGCACAAAATAAATGTGCTTAGAGTTCCATGCCAGTTTGATCATTAAAAAAGACTTGAAAATTAACTCAACTACCCGTTCCTCTGTGAGTAATACAAAAAACATGCCCACACATTGTATGTAACAACCTTACATTCCAGTATATCATCACTGCCGTTAAAGACAAAGATTCACGTCATTGCCTGACTATTGCGCTGTTGTGTTAGCAACATTGCCCAACTAGAAGGAATTTTAAGCGATGAACCATGATGAACCGCGGTTATTCCTTGGTTATGCCCTTGATTGTTCTGTCACTTGCTCTTTTGAAACAGAACAGAGAGCTGAAAACAGGGTTGCGGTTATAATTCAAATATATGTAAATATACTAAGTGACATATGAAATGCAACACCCAGAATTATTTATTGAATTCTGCTAAAAACATATTTTATATTTGCTATCATGGAAGTATACGCTGATAAAATGTTGAAGTCATTCCAAGCCGCACTTTTCTTGTAAAGGCTTTTTTGTCATCTCAGGATCCGAACAATATGAACATATTTACTTAATATTCAGTGATTTTTCTGTATTGGTTCCATTTGTTTCATTGTTGTTTCATTGTGTTATCATGCCTTCCGAGTTTGAGAGGGGTCGGATAATCAGGTTAAGTGAAGCCGGATTTTCTTTTAGAGAAATCGCTAATCGGGTAAGTCGAAACGAAGCTACTGTGATGAAATGTTGTCAAGTGTGGTTCCAAGAAGGCCGAAATCGCGGAGTTAGAGGTACTGGACGTCAAAGATCGATTTTCCACAACTGTGGCAGTTGCGAACCAGTGGTTTGATACTGTGGGAAGGGCAATAGCAATGAGGGCAGTTTATCGCCGATTAAGGTCTTTTGGACTTGAATGGAATATGAAATGGAACTCAGTGTTTAGCGATCAGTCCAGAATGTGTTTGGGCAAACATGATGGCCGCACTAGAGTGAGGAGGAGACGTGGTGAAAGACCAATATTTCATTGAACGATATATTTATCGCTCTGTGGGTGTTATGGTATGGGGTGCCATTGCTTACGGCAGCAGATCACGATTAGTAGCCCTGCCCTATATCCACGAAGTTGCAAGGACAATGCACGAGCTCATGTCGCACGTGTTAGCTTAGACTTTTTAGAAGCGTCTGGAGTAAATCTGCTTGAGTGGCCTCCTCGATCTCCAGACCTTTCCCCCATCGAACATGAATGGGACATGATACGAAGAAGGTTGCAAAATTCACCGCACCCTCCACAAATATTGGAGGCTCTACGAAATCAAATTCATATGGCATGGGATACAATATACCAAGCAGACATCAATCACCTAATCCAATCAATGCCGCCACGACTTAACGAATGTGTAGCGATCAGAGGAGCTTTTCAACACATTATTAACATTAAGGTGGGACATCTCAGCTATTTTTAAATTTCGAGCTAAGATTTTAATCACTTTCTATTTATTAGTACACCTAAAACTTGTAAAAGTATACTCCTAGTCGGTGTTGCATTTTCTATGTCATTTAGTATACCTACTTTAATGTGATACAGCACCTAATTACTTTCCAAATTCTATACAAAAAAACAATGTATGACTCCATATAAACTCATTAGTTCTAAACTTATTGTCATATGATATCGTTTTTTTTTCACTGATGACTAAACAAAAAAGGCACACAAGATTAGGAAAGGGTTATATTATATCCATGGGTTGACATTTGACCGCATAGAAACCACCACCTGTGCAAGGTTGTTATTGGTCCTAACAGTAACAGTGAATTCACGAAAGGCCAGTTCGTGACGTCGTCATTTGACAGCAGTTATAATTCCCATCGCTTAGGCTTAGGTCGCACTACGGTTTTCTCCCGCAAGCGGTAAACCACCAAACTGCAAAACCGCCCGAGACGCACACACTACGATTAAAAACCGCGTAACTGGACACGATTTTAACAGTTTGAAGATGGATTTCAAGAGAGCTGTGAGTGTTGTTGCTCTAATACTAAGAAGCAGAAAAAGAAGGCGTTATCAAAAATTTCGCAAATATTGGGTCCATCCACTGACTAGCCGAAGACTTAAGAAAGGTCTCTTTCATAAAAAGTATCAAGGCTTAAGAAAACAACCTGACAAATTTTTCAACTACTATCGGAACAGAAAGTTCTGTGCTTTAAGCACAATGGCTTTTATATCAACACATTCCATCCTAACACTTATGATACCCTGTTGCTAGATGTACGATAACTGGGGAAAGGTAAATACGCAGAAAATTCTTGTCCTCCCGTTTTTCAATTTTCAGTAGTCGGTAACCCCCCACCCCCGTTTTTCCATCGTCATATTATCACAAGAACATTCGCTCCCAGAAGTCCTCCCACCTCAAAATGTCCCTCTGGATCCGCGTCTTGTGAATGAACTTATATTTTCGTTCAGATTACACGTGTCTAGCAAACACCCATCCTCGCCCCCATTTTCAATTAATCGTTTATTCTTATTATTTGGTTAACTTTTACTGGCGCTATGTCTGTTCCGATACGGCTCAGTGTTGCCCATGTCGACCATTCAAAGTCAGTACCACTGGGCATCTCTTGGATAAGCCGGTAGTTGGTAAGTGCACCGTCTAGAGAGATCTACGGAATTTAAAGTACCTTCGATTTGCATTGAACTCCGGACAGAGATTGGAGCTCATCAATAATTAGTTCAGGCCTTTCTATGAACTCTTACGCCTTTTTTGAGAGGGTTATCATGTAGCTGGTTACATTACTTCTGTGGTTAATTAACCAAGTATGACATTGGAAAAAGGAAAAAAATAGGAAGTCTCTCTAAGACATATTTGCCTTCACCAGAAGGAAGAAATCAGAGTTATTAGGACCTCTATACCTTCTGGAAAAACTGTTAAAACTGTCGGGGGAAGTCAAATAGTTGGGAGTAATACTAGACTCCAAACTAACCTGGAACCTGCAGATCAAACGCTCTCATGGCAAAACATGGGGATTAAGCCCTTCCATGACGCAGTGGATGTACATGATATTGGTAATGCCCATGATGACTCATGCATATCATGGTTCTTCACGACGGTGTTCTATAAACTACAAATTTTGGTGCGGTTTTTTCCCGCTAGCCATTCTGTAACAAGTCGCGGTTTTAAAATCAGTCGCGGGAAAAAACCGTCAGTGCGGCCGCTTCGATTAGTTTACTTTACTCACAAAATCACGCGGTTAAAATCCGCGCCGGTTAAGCCGTAGTGCGGCCTAAGTTTTAAAATGAAAAAGTTAAAACGATACACAACTGGTTATGATTGGTAGATCGCTTAAAATTGCTTTAGGCTGGACATTAACGTCAATGCCAGGAATATCGTCCTTGCCTGCAACATAGACATACTATTGAAGAGAACTTTTAAAACTTTTTATATTGCAAATTCTCTTTGTTGCAGGTACAAAATAGTATTTTTCTGCTTAGACACGGCGTGTGTGATGATCTTCACAGCAGAATACCTTCTTCGAATGTTTGCAGCACCAAATCGTTACAAATTTGTTAGATCTGTTATGAGCATCATCGATGTTGTAGCCATCCTTCCCTATTATATAGGTAGGTTTTGACCTTCAGTTCATAAATAGTTGATAGTTGTAATTTTCTATATGTAAAAGAGACTGGAAATTATAAAATTAGAAACGATAGGAAACAGTTTACCATTTTGCGGGATCCGAACTCACTACTGATCGCGTCTCGGGTGTAACTCTAGCTGGCACTTTGAAGTGTCCGCCTATACCCTATTCGTAGTCAAGAAACAAAGATGTGGGATCTGGACAATATGATCGATATTCAAATTGAACCTGTAATAATAAATACTAACAATTTGGACGATGATTCAAGTACTTCCAGCGAATAAGGAATTGTGAAAAGTATGTGCACTTCTTTCTATAAAAATAATCATTTATTTTGTTAGATTATTCCAAGACCATTGAGGAAAATACGGGCCTGTATAATCTCGCTTTTAGGCATGTTGTGTTTTGTCTCGGCGTAAATGGACTACGAATTGGGTATAGAATTCTGGAGGTCGTTGGTTCGATTACTATCGGCATAACATAATCCGTAAACTTTCTTCTATATTGTAGGATACCTTGTACTTTTTTATAATAGCCGCAAAACAGTAAACAAATCAAAGAAAATGCATGTGTTTATTTTTACAAAGAAATGCCCAACTTTGAAAACCATATATACTTACGTAGATTATTATAAAGTGCTTACTTACAGTTCCCCCTTCCTTCCTGCGCTTTAAATCCTAGAGATCCTAGATCCGTCACTGGTTATGGAGCATGTATCATTAATACTAATCCACGATATTTTCAGGCCTGGGAATCACCGACAACGACGATGTGTCAGGAGCATTCGTGACCCTAAGGGTTTTCCGAGTGTTCAGGATCTTCAAGTTCTCCAGGCATTCACAAGGTCTGAGGATCTTGGGATACACGCTCAAGTCTTGCGCTTCCGAATTGGGCTTCCTCGTGTTTTCCCTTGCGATGGCTATCATTATATTCGCCACTGTGATGTTCTATGCTGAAAAGAACGTTGGAAAAACGTTCACATCTATACCAGCAGCCTTTTGGTATACCATTGTCACCATGACTACATTAGGGTAAGTCAAAAAGCAAAAAGTGGCATCAAGTAGGTCGGCTCTGCATTCACCACGCAACGCTGCCATTAGTTCATAAAGGATTGTGTTAACCACCGTGAAAAAAATAGTTAGCTCCGAACATCTCAATCCAACATGCATATGAATGTACTCGATCGTTTCATTTTTGATACAAGCATATCAGTAGGTGGCACCTTAGTAGTAGTTTAAAGCACATGTGTCCAATTCATCATTTAGCGCTACACGATCCCACGATCGATTGTTGCAAAGATTTGAAAACTACGACAAGATTTCGGTCGAAATGTACCCAGTGTCAACACCATTCGTCAGTTGGTGCAGAAATTTGAACAAACAGGTGAAGTTGAAGACTTGCCAAGGTCGGGCCGTGTTCGAACTGTTCGTATCACGGAAAATATCGAGAGTTCGTAAAAGTGTAGTGGAGCGCCCCGAGACGTCTACTAGACATCGTTCTCAAGAACTTTGTATTCGTCGCACGTCATTATGCACTATTCAAAAAAAAAACATGCATTGGTGGTCATACAGTTGACCGAAGCAGCTTGATACCAAAAATAACAATACTTACCAACACCTGGTAATGAGCGCTGAAGCCCAATTCAATATGAACGTATTTGTCAATAAGCAGAATTGTATCTGGACATTAGAGAGCCCTAGTGTCATCCGCTACATTCTAGTCGGGTCACAGTTGGGTGCGGTGTTTGATATGGAGGTGTCATTGGACCATACTTCTTTAAAGACACTGCAGATAATTCTCTCACTGTCACTGGCGAGCGCTACCGTCATATGCAAAACTTTCTGGCTCCTCAAATCCAACAATTTGACCTGCAAAACGTATGGTTCCAACATGTCGGAGCAACTTGTCACTCAGCTAAGGAAACAATGAATCTTTTGCGAACAATATTTCCGGGACGTTTAGTTTCTCGATTTGGTGTTGTCAACTGAAAAACAGAGCTTATGCCAACAAAACAAATGTTGTAGAGCAGCTGAAGAACAATATTACGGGAACGATTGAAAACATTCCTCCCGAAACCTACCAAAAAGTGATGCAAAATGTAATCAAGGAGGCTCAGGTTTGCGTGGCTTCTAGAGGCAGATATCTGCCTGATATTATTTTCCATACATAACTTCTCAGTTTAAATAAAATATTAAGATGAAACAAAAATGTCAGTTACATATCGGCTACCCTGTACAACCCCCTCCCCCGTGACCATGAATCGTGGGACTACCACTTAGCTCCTTCTAAACGGATCAGTCCACGCTACGCCACTGTGAACAATAATTTCGATGCGCTTACACCATTTTTATTGAATCTGGCAATGTTGCTCGGCGGCTACCTATATGTATACGCGTGTGTTGAAAATATTTCATTCCAAGCTTTAAGGCAAAATGTACTGGGAGATCAATGACACGCAAGACGTCTAGTAAGTAACTGCAAAGCTTTCTCGACCCTGGCATAGTAGTAACCTTGTATGAACAGTTCATGAAAATCCGAAAGGTACTTTCTATGACATAGACGGGCCAAGGATTATGGGACAGACCGACCGACAGGCAGACGGAAATGAGTAACATGGTTATCTCTTTTCCGGAATTTTTCGTAGTAGATGCGGGAAGGAAAAGCACACATTCAGAAGTTAGTGATCTCTGTAATATTACGCACATTTCCAATATAATTATCATATATACAGGGTGGCCCGACGAACAGGTCGCACCCCCATTTGTGACTCTCCTAGTATATTTTGGGAAAAACGCGTCACATCAGTTTTGATCTCTAGGGGGACGTCTTTTCATCTATAGCCATACAATACAGGGTGATCCAAATATAAGATATTTCATTACATTTTAGATTTTTAATTTTTTTTTCATTTTTAGATTTACCATGAAGTTTTTACTAACTCTTGTCAAATAAAGTTTATACCTATCTTCAATCGTTGTGAAGCTATTTGAGCCTTTATCCCAAAATGTACCATGAGAGTCACAAATGGGGGTGCAATCCTTTTGTTAGACCTCCCTGTATGTAGTGTATGTGCTCCTAAAACTTTTGAACAGCGAACTCGGGAGGATGGTGCACGGTCGCCTTGGCACCATCTCCACGGAAACAATTTCCGTAGTTACAAGTATGGTGAGGGTGCAGGTAAAAATTCTTCACATAATTGAACACACCTAGTCAAGTTTCGATTCTATAAGAGTCTCTTGAATAGACGCGACCCATTCTATTTTATTATACAGGGTGTTTCAGAACTATGGGATCAAACTTGTAGGGGTTACTTAGTGTAACAGTAGAAAACATTTGAGTATAGGGACCCATATCCGGCGCTTGTGTGTTCTTATCTTTAAAAACGATAACAAAGATTGTTTTTTGTAGCTGCATTCCATATCGCCTTTGTCGTGCTATCGTCTTTGTGAAGTTTGCAAGAATTCAACAAAAATTAATTGTTGCTAATGGAAAACTTTACTATTCAAAAATTGGCGGATATGCATTTCGCATAAGGAGCAACAAGCTGCACGAGCAGCTTCGCGGCTGTATCAAGAATGTTATCCCGAACGGCAGCATCCGGGGTACAAAAAGTTTATTGCTATTCATCTGCGGCTCCCCGAGACAGGCATGTTTAAAACCAACATGCATGATACTGGGGTTGCTCGATCCGTAAAAACGGTCGAATTTGAAGAAGAGGTCCTTCAGCGAGTTGCCGACGAACCATCAAGTAGCACTTCACATTGCTGAGGATATGAATACGAGTAACGCTTCCATCTGGCGAGTGCTACAACTTTATCCTTACTACTTCCAGGATTGACTGCAGCCGATTATCATCCTAGAGTTCAATTTTGTCAATGGCTTCTTCATCAAATCGCTGCATAACCAAATTTTTTACGCTATGTTTTATGGACCGATGAAGCTTGTTTCACAAGAGACGGTATTTTTAATAGTAGGAATAACCACGTTTGGAACAAAGAAAATCCCCATGCAATTTTTCCTAGAAAACAGCAGCGTTGGTCTGTCAACGTATGGGCAGGCATTGTTGATGATTATTTGATTGGGCCATACCTTCTACCGGAACGGTTAACAGGACCTATTTACCGGCATTTCTTGGAGGAAGTTCTTCCAGAACTTCTTGAAAATGTTCTATTGAACGTTCGACAGCAAATGTGGTTTCAGCATGATGGAGCGCCGGCTCACGTTGCTGTACAAGTACGTGAGTATTTGGCTCAGCGGTTTGGGCACCGTTGGATTGCCAAAGGTGGAGCAGTTTCTTAGCCTCCTAGGTCACCCGATTTAACGTCGCTAGATTTTTTCCTGTGGGGACATGTAAAGCCTTTGGTTTACGAAACTCCAGTAGAAACAGAGCAAGACTTAATTGGACAAATTACAGCAGCATTTGAATAATTCAAAACGAGTATCAAGTTTTTAGTCAAGTCCGCCGAAATCATGTGCGACGTTTGAATCGGTGTATTCAGGTTGGAGGAAGACATTTTGAACAATTGTTGTGATGATATCATGTACAAAAGGCAAAAATTAAATGTATTAAATCCTATTCAGGCAATTCATCGTCTTTCTAAATTTTAACGCATTACACAGAATAACCCCTAGAAGTTTGATCCCTTAATTCTGTATATGTATTTGCGTGTGCGTAATTAACTTTTTTCTAAGAGGGGCTAATTTGTCTCACTTTGGTTTTAGCAGCTGCTACTACGACAACTCGTTATATAAACAAAAAAAACAAAAAAAAAACACGGAAATTATATTGAGGCTGCTAGAAATATGTTCCAAACAGGTTGATTCTAACTCGCCTAAGTGCCTTGGTTTATTTTTTCATTGATGCAAAAACTGCGTGACCTGTCATTTTTTCTTCTCGATGAAACAAGCTGTACCATGACTTGATGGGATACTTCAAACAAGCCGACCACAAAATCGTTCGGTAACTGTTAGTTGAGCAATAAAGCTGAACTGCGTCAAGATTTTGTTGGAACTGTTTTTGTGATTCCACAAAAATTGAAATGCAGGTTGACACTGATATTTTCATTCGTTTTCACGAGTGTTAAAATTTGTTCAACTACCCAGGTAGCACAAGCACGTGAAAATGACGTTAAAAACTTGTCAACAAATGACGAGAAATCACGAGTTGAATGACGTAGAAGTAACGTGAAAATGACCTCTTAATGTTACATACGGATGACGTCATATGACAGACGTCAATAATACGTCACTTGCTGGACGTCAAGATGACGATGAAAGACACGACGTTTGGAGTGGGAACACTACGCTAAAGCAATTTTTGCACACTTTGTGCTTTGTAATACTACGCGTAACACATATGTTACAAAATTAAAGTCACGATAGCCTAAGACCGTTTTCAAAATAGTCAACTTTTCTATAATTTTGGGAATCGGGCGCATCGCTCCATGGTAGCGACGGTAGCTGGTGTCATATGACGTCATCACTCAGTCTGACGCTCTAACAAGATAATTCTCCAAATCAGGATAGCGTTTCAGTGCTGTATCTTATTTAACTTAGACTATCATTTTGTGTGCTTTAAAAACAGTATACTCGTACTTCCTCATTGACGTCCTGGATTGAATAATATACTGTTGATTACAGATATGGTGACATGGTGCCTGCAACGATTGCAGGCAAGATAGTAGGGGGTGTATGCTCACTGAGCGGAGTACTGGTGATCGCACTACCAGTACCTGTCATTGTATCCAACTTCAGTAGGATATACCACCAGAATCAAAGGGCCGATAAACGGAAAGCGCAAAGGGTAAGTGACTTGTTTCACTAATGCTTGTGTGTCGCAAAGTTGGAAATATGACCCTGGCGTATATTGATTCATTAACAGATACATAACCAGAACCAACCCACTTGGAAGCTGTACTTTCGCAAATATAAGTCGCCACATTTTGGAAGAATGGATTTTTTCATTGGCAAGACCAGATGTATACAAATTAATAGTAAATGTGATCAAATAATACGTTGATTAGTTGTACCTCTATTCATATTTCAATAATACAGTTGCAACATCAATGATCCATGTACAGGCAACGCCTCCTTTGGGCCGTTACTTCATATTTATTTACTCATTTTGTATTGTGTTTCAGGAGTAAATAAATATTATTATTATTATTATTATAGTGCCGCCAACCACTTACCAATACTACTCATGACACTTTTACTTGAAAAGATAAATCCACGCATGCAATCAATCTATCTCTTTCGCACAGGTTGCGTCACTCGGTGACAAAATTTCCCATAGACGGGTTTCAAGGGTTCAGCATTATATGTTGACGGCATGACGGAGACAAAAATCTCAGATTCTGCACCAATTAACCATCTTGGCTTCCCAAATTACGAGGTGTACTCCAATCTGAGAAAGAAGGGGGGAGTTTGTGGCTTTTGTCCACAGCAGTACTTACTGCTCCAGAGACTCTTCTTTGGAATCAGACCGTGAGGACATTCTGTGGCCTAGCCTCAATTTAAAAGATCCCGAAAATTTATTTGCTGCCTTTATCGCTCGCCCTCGGGCCATAACTGGGATGACCTACTTGAATACCTGTCAAGATCGACTTCCTGAACATCAATTACCCCGCGTCAGAGGTAGTTCTCCTCTGTGATTTCAATGCCCATAATGAGCTATGGTTTGGCTTAAACAAGACCGATGCAGCAGGTCGTGCAGTCGAAGCGTTCGCTATTATCAAAGGACTGACCCAGCTGGTGACGAGCCCTACTTCTTTCCCCGCGTTTTCATCACACGCCAGTAGCCTGCTCGATCTCTTTCTGACCACGCATCCTGTCCCTTACAGCACTGCTGTCCTGTTTTCCCTGAGTAACTCAGACCATGGTGTTGTGGAGGTTAAGTTCCGGTCAGAACGCGCTGAGGCAACAAAAACCAGACCAGGCCGCAAAATTTGCCATTACAGACATGCCGACTGGGAGGGGCTCAGAGACTTCTTCTCGATCTTTCCTTAGAGAGATATTTGTTTCGCTGACACAGAGGCATCGGCTGTCTGTTCATCGATAACCGAAATTATCCACATCAGGATAGAGGAATTCATCCCTCATACCGTGAAAGTACTTAAATCAGTCCAACGGCTGGTTCAATAAATCGTGCAACACTGCTCGTCTTCAGAAGATCAAGACACACAGCCCACTGTGGAGAACAGACAAGCCCACGTTGAGTCCAGAAACAAATACAATAAAGCGGTCCTCAATGCCAAAGACCAGCACGATATAAAAGTTAGGCACAGTGTAATGTCGCAGCGCAATGGCAGTCGGTCTTTCTTGACACTGGCCAAGCAGCTTGAAAGGAACTTCTCACAGCGAAGCCTTCCACCACTTGCGTGACAGGATGAGACGATTGTCATCGACTTAAAGGCTAAGGCGGAAGTGCTTGCCAAGATCTTTGCCGCCAACTCCAGCATGGGTGTCCACCTCAACGCCCGATTGCCATCGAATCAAAGGGTTCCACTACGCGGGAAGTAACATACAGGCATAAGACCGTAAGGTGATCTTGTCGCTTGACATCAACAAAGCTTCCAGTCCAAACTTGATTCCTGCCGTTGTGTTGAAGAGGTGTGCAGCGGAGCTTGCTCCAGTTCTTTTGCGTCTCTTACCGATATCTTACGAATCCGGCACCTTCCCAGAAAACTGTAAATATACTAATGTCCAACCCATCAAAAAAAAAAAGATATAAGACCGATACTTACAACTACAGGCTTATAGCTCTTTTTTCTTTTTAAATTAGTCCTTGCCTAATCCAAAGAGAGAGAGAGAGAGATGAAAGTATTGGGGTGCGTTCATTAGTAGTACTTGGTGTTTGATTTTGATAGCTCTGTGGTTTATAGGCTATCATACTGTGTGGATTCCTAGAATCTCGTATTCAGCATGTTCCAAAGGAAAAAGTGTAGGTTCTGAAACGTGTCATAGAGAAGAAAAGATCACTTCAAAATTACTTTCTATATTACACAGTCCAAATATTGAGCGGGTACGCATCATTACTACAATACTTCCGAATTGCACGCGTATGCGCGTTTAAAGAAGTCGTGATAGCTGAGTCTCTTTTAATAACCCGGTAGTATTGTGAGGTATGCCTAGAAATCTTATCTCCTTCAGGATTAAATTTTCAGACAATTCGTAAAAGTATTTTTTCCTTCAAAGTTAGCGTTAATGTCGAAATTTAGACGAACATTTACTAAAAGCATCCCTGTTACCTCAAGGGTTCTTTAGTAGACATATCGAGTTGTTTTTTACCTATCTAGGTTGCAAACTTACAAGGAATTTTTTTCGTCAAAAATAAGATAACTTTTACTTATCAATGTAGCAAAAAAAACCTTACATTAAGGGCATATTTCAGGTTAATATTTGGTAAGCTATAACCTCTGGATTTGTCTTCGAGGTCAAGAATTCTTTAAATTCCTTTCAGAAGTGTGCTATTTATTGTTTTGAACCAATTAGTTTCACCTCTGAGTCAAAGGTCTATTAGGACCCTAATTTGGTACGTAGCTACCAATTTTTGACAAAGGATTCAACTCTCAAGACAATTCAACTTTTGAGGGCAGCGTTCAAGGATATAATTACTAGAATTTGGCGAATATAGGTAACAAAATGCTAGTTAGGTAGGCACTGGGCCTAAAATGAGCCCTTTCCTGACTAGGATGCCCAGAGATCAAGGCCGGATTCAGGGGACAGGGTCATAAGAGTCATGACCACTAATATTTTATTAAAAATTACAATGGAAAAACAAGGGCAGAGAAATAGAGAAACCCATATGGCTTTAATAGACCTGAAAAAGGTATATGACAGTGTACCGATCTCACAACTGTGGATAGAAATAAGAAACGTGAAAATAAACCCAATTCTTATCAACGCTACCCAAAAGTACTACCAATAAAACTTAACAAAAATCAAAATAGAACAATTAATCACCGCTCCTTTTCAAACAACAAAGGGACTAAGACGAGGCTGCTGTTTGTCACCTACCTTATTTAAAATCTATCTAGGCAGATCCCTAGCGAAATGGGTGCGAAATTGCAGAAACATATGAATAACGGTGGGAGAAAACGAGCCAGGTCTAAGCATGAATTTGACAAAGCGTGAATATCTTTCAGTGGGAACCGACGAAACATGTGACCTATACCCTATTCGTAGTCCATTTACGCCCCGGCACAACAAAGCAAAGCGGCAGCCGCCTAAGCGTTGCAATAGCTATTGGTTATTCGGCCAAAAACTACGAACAAAGTGCAGTATCCGACAGGATAGAACTCAGGCTCGGGATATCGCCGGGACGCCGAAGCCCGAAGTTGCTGGTCATATTCGGTATCTGCATAAATTCACAGCGTGTGTTTATACGTTAGCATGTTGTTTTTTTTATATATCGAAGCAGCCGCGCAGGCAGAAGCCTAAATGCCGGAACACCGCGGCTGCTATGAGGATCCCAAAGAAATTTTATTGATACGAGATACGATTTTTGAACTGCCTAAGGTTAGTAGAACTGGGAAAAGCTTCCTCTTGTTGATTGTTCCACAGTCTCGACACTCTCGGGACAAAGGATCGGTCGTGTCGCCCAGTTCTGGATGTACGAAGCTCGACACGGTTAGAATCGGACGCCAAAGTTAGGCGGGTCTGTCTGGCAGGCACATCGCGCGACAGCATCATGGAAGAGAGCTCTGAGGAGCAAAGCCCGTTGGTGAAGCGGTAGAAAAGAGCTAGATCGTCGACGGCCCGCCGGTGCGGCGGAGTTCCAAGACTGTCTGTTAGAGAAGAGTCGTCGATCAGTCGGACCGCCCTCCTCTGGACAGCATCGAGCATGGACGATGTGGTCTTGGCGGCAGCACCCCAAACGTATGAGCAATACTCGAGGCTAGGTCTTATGTGGGCCTTGTATAGAGTGAGAAAGTCATGCGGAGAAAAGTACTTCTTAGCCCTAAACAAATAGCCTAGCTTTTTCCAAGAAGCTGCAGCTATTGACGAGATGTGTTCGTGCCAGATCAGGTCCTCGATGATCTGGACTCCGACCAGCCGAAATGAATGGCTCTTTGACAGAACTCGGCCAACTTAGATTGGAGTGCACCTCGTAGTTTGGGAAGTTAAGATGGTTAATCGGTGCAGACTCTAAGATTTTTGTCTCCGCCAAGAAAAGCATGGCGGGACGATTGGTTTGCAGGTAGCGATGAACAGCATCAATGTTGCTGTTAATCCCGCAGATGTTTGTAAAACAAATTTTATCTTCGATGTTGTTCCCTCCCGCTCACCCTCCACCCGGACATTCCGAGAGTGGAGTGGAGTACGGATACTGTAGATAAAACTGAGAATATTTCTCCCAATGCTTCCTTACTTACTTACTTACTTGCCTACTTTCAAAAGGTCCACATTCTATAGTTTATTCAAACAACTTCAAAACCTCTCTTCACTGGCAAAAAGATATGTCGGCGAGAAACAAAAAAACACATTTCCTGCAGTATAGTCCAAAGCATTCCACTTTATGGTTCGGAAGTATGGGACGTCACCAAAGCTAATAGAAACAAAAACACACTTATAACTACAGAAATAGATTATTTGATACTAAGCTGTGGTAGATCGAAACTAGAGAGAGTCAAAAACGAACAAATAAGAAATAAAATGAAAATCTAACGAAATACCAGTGAGGACATAGAAATAAAGCAATTAACCTGATTCGGACATATAAAAAGAATGCCAGAGGGGAGATGGCCTAAAAGAATACTGGAGTAGATTACTCCTGAGAGAAGAAAGAAATTAGGAATAGAG